CTTTTATGAAAAATTGTGACTTTTATGAAAGGTTGTGACTTTTTCGAAGGGTTGCAACTTTTGCAAATAGTTGTAACATTTCTGATAAGGCACAATAAATATTTGTTCACACTTTCATTTGTTGTCTATAAATGGAGGGATTTCCTCTAATTTTAAAATAACAAAAACTCTGAACTTCTTCTTCTTCACAATTAAATATTTGTGTACTTTGCTCCTGTTGAGTGGCTCACTGACACCATTGCTTATGTTACAGATCCTGGTATGTATTTTTACAATCATTAATTTATGCTAATGTTATTAAGGATAAATGATAAGATGGAATAATTTTCATTTACATTTACATTATTAATGTTTGTTACTACGTAATATTGTATGTAAGATAATATAGTGTTTTAATTTTAATGCCCGATAGGTTTTAAGTATTATTTTATAAATTCTGTGACAATAAATTCCCCGCGCGGAGCGCGGGCAATTTTACTAGTATATATATATAAGAGAATCCTAGTCCCGCCTATGTGGCACCACCACAAACAGGATTCCTTTTTAAATTTATTTATTTCCAAAACTAGCCTTCCCCTATCATGAAACGTTGTGACTTTTATGAAAAGTTGTGACTTTTATGAAGGGTTGAGACTTTAATGAAAAGTTGTGACTTTTATGAAGCATTGTGACTTTTATGAAGAGCTGCGACTTTTATGAAGAGTTGCGACTTTTATGAAAACTTGTGACTTTTATGAAAGGTTGTGACCTTTCCGAAGGGTTGTAACTTTTCCAAAGAGTTGTGGCCTTTTTGATAAAGCACAATAAACATTTGTCGACACTACCCTTTGTTATATATAAATAGAGGGATTTCCTCTCATTTTAAAATAGCGAAAATTATGAACTTCTTCTTCTTCTTCTTCTTTTTCTTCTTCTTCTGCGTAAATAAATATTCATGTACTTTGCTCTTGTTGAGTGGCTTACTACACCATTGTATTTGTATCAATAAACTGGTGAATATAATTGTTCTATCCCGGAAGGATCTATTTCTTTAAACCTCAGATACTAGAGGGGAATAATTTCCTTAAGGGGACACTGTTCATTCAATGGGCTCAATTTTTTCCATTCTGTTTCATTCTATTGTTACAGATCCTAGTATATTTTTTTTATAGTCATTAGTTTATGCTTATGTTATTTATTGTTGTTTTAGAGTACATGCTTTAAACTTTGTTGTTTATGTTTCTGCACAGTTATTGTTATAAGTACTTGTTAATAAAGATTAAATAACACACATTAATAGAGTATTCAACAAGTTTTCTCTACTGAAATTGTTGAAGGTACAGTAAAAAATGCCTTAAAGATCTATACTACCATCTGTTTAAGACAAAATTCAAATTTGGTATGCCATTGTTAGGATATAAAGACCTTAAAAACTTTATCGCACCTTAATGTGAGAAATAAACCAGGACAAGAAGGCAAGATTTAATAAACTTTTGACATGAGTTTAAGGATGTGCCGGATGACCTATGGAGGAATATGACTAGACTGGAGCCCTTTTTAATTCCAAAGACATAGACAACTACAAAATAAGTTAATTGCTCATATTTAACATGAAACATGGACAGATTATCAAGTTAATGCAACTTGTAAATACTTTTCTTGAAGTAATAGATGTGTTTCTCGACACTGCAATTGGAATAGAAGTGTAGTTATCACTCTGGTATGTTGATTTTTAAAAAACACCCAAAAAAACTAAATAGTTTTATGTAATATTTTTCCTTCTTTCATGTATATACAATAAGTTGAATGGTTGTCCAATATGATACATTCTCCCTTTAATTTTTTATTTTAATAATTACCTATGATACATTTAAATGGGGATCTTTAAAATGACATATGTAAAGCAAAAGGTAGGGCTGAACTTTCTACACGTTAGAATTAGAATATTTGTTCACTTTTTTAGCCTTTTAAAATTAATTATCCCTTCACCAACGAGTATTTATTTATTAGAAAATTTAATATCTCCGGTTGATGTTAATTTGATTCCCGAAAAATATCAAATAGTAATACTTCCTAGAAGCAGAAGTATAAATTATAAAGTCAAATTAAATATGATTGATTGAAGGATAAATGATAAGATGTTATAATTATCATCTTCCTCTACTATATTAGTGTTTGATACTACATAATCTTGTATGTAAAATCATATAGTTTTTAGTTTTTATGAGTGATAGGTTTTAAGTATTTTTTTTATAAGTTTCGTGATATATATATATATATATATATATACTAAGACATATTCACAAAACAAAATTTAAAATTTCAAACTTGTGTTGTTTCATATCATTAAAAAATGGACAAATTACTTAACTACACTCCTTTACTTACCTTAATATCCATTTATCCCTACTTATTTCAAAATTTTCAAAAATCCCTTATTTTACCTATGTATCCCGTGCACAACGCTATGTATCCCGCTATGTGGAATGTATCAAACCTAATGCATCCCGTGCACAATGCTATGTATCCCGCAAACATCATTTTTAAGGGATTTTTGATAAATAAAAAACTAAAAGGGATAGGATGTTATTTAGTACTTATAATATGTGGTTCCTATAATTTATACTTAAAAAATTAGCGTTAATTTAGTAATGTCAAATTAGTTGGGCCCCTTTAGAAAGCCCACATGCCAGAAAATTACCAAAGTATATTATAGAGGATAATCTCATAAATTATCATTAATTATGAAACTATTTAGGGGTTTAACCATTTTGGGATTTTAGGGTTTCACACATCACTTTAGTCTCACTTCTATACGAGTTTTGCTTCTCAACTAAAGCTTACATTGGCGGCCATGGCTTCCAACTTTTGTGAGTTGTTTTTTTACATTTATTTATTTAAATTTTATCCTCAAAATTTTAAAAACTTCGTATGTGATCCATTGCCTATTTAAATTTTGTTGGAAACATTAATTTTTTGTTTAAGTGATTGAAGAACAAGATCCGACTCAAATTCGCCATACATTCTTGTTTTTAACCTAGAGGTTTTTTTGGTTGAATTAGTTTTTGATTTTCTATGAAATTCCATGAGTTGATCATAAATGGAACAGTGAAGATTTGTATAATAGATAATGACATGTTTAGAATTGAGATGTGAATGTGTTTTAAATTTCCCATGAACTGTTTTTACGAATCTTTTTGGCAACTTAGTCACATAAATAATAAATGTATCCACAAAGGTAGTGTTAAGGTCTATGTTTCGCCTATATTTTCCACATCCCACTTGTTAGATTATACTGACTATGTGGTTTAACAATCTTTATTTTAGTTATTAGTGTTTACTTTTATCTTAGTTTCAAATTATTTTTATTCCTGGTTTGTTTTCCTCATGTTTTTAATTGAGCATAACTATATTATTATTTTGATTTTTGAAATTACACCTCCTAATATTAAATAGATTGTGTCCTTTACAAATTTGGCTTTTAATGAGTGATAGTCATTAAAGTAGAATTTCATCATTAACTTTATTTTATTTTTTGAATTATTTTTACTTAATGTATGTTGAAATTTATTTCTTATTATGTTGAATTGAAATAAGAGTGTTATGTTAAAAATTGGATTATATATTTAGCCTATAGTTTCAATTTTAATTATTTTGTAGTACAATTGATATATTATTTTTGTCAAACAATTGAGTTATGTTATGACATTATATTTGTAGATTTTATCCTTTCGCCAAGTAACTCGTTTTTGATGTTCTTATAAAATGTGTTCTTTTACTTATTTAAAGTAATTGAATTAAAATTTTATTAATTGGAAACTTATATATCAATCTTTTTTTACATTATTAGTTACAAATATGTAATTATTAATTAGTATATTTAAAAAAAATTATATGTATCTTAAAAACCTTAGTTAGTGTCATCTATAAAGACACATATTTGTCATATACTAACTTCAATTTTTTGATGATTAAATTTGTTTCAAAATTAATTTAACTGTAATTGTACCTGTGCAACCAAACAATATGCCTGTAATTTCACTGTAATTAGATTATGAAAAACAAATAGGTTATCATAATTATTATATTGAGTAATTATTATGTTGTGTAATTATATAATTACAAGGGTGGTAATTACGTTAATTGTAATTAACATGTAGCTTTTCAAAGAGATCCTAAACAATTTAAGAATGGTAACATATTCAGTTTTGTTATATATTCTTGTTTCCGGCCTTGATAATTTTTTGGAAGTGTTTTTTTGATCTTCTATGTCATGCCATGAGATGAGATTAAATGTAATAGTGAAAATTCATATCGTCAATCCTAACTTATTGTCAAATGAGTTATGATTGTGGTTTCTTTGTTTGTATGATCTGTTATTTAAAAATAATTCTTGCAACTCTTCTTGGAAACCTCTTCTTTTAATCTGATGGTCTTCTGTAAAAAAATATATATACCCCACAAAGAAAGTGTAAAGGTTTGTGTACATCCTATCCTTTTCAGAAAACACTTGTAAGATTACACTAACTATTTTACTATTGTTTACCAATGTATGTTTTCGTCACTGTTGTGTACCTTTATTGTGTTATGTTATTTCAATAGTATCTCTATTTCTCTGTCATATGATAGTTATTATTGTTTACTTATTCTTCTTTTTCTAATTTTTATTTAAGGTGTTTTATATCTTATTAATTCTCTATTTTCTGCTAAAAGTTTGAATCATTATTTACGTTTTTAGAGAGTGGAAAAGAATAGAACTGCATTTCATTTAAATACTCAACATCAGAAAAGGAAATATGAGTTCTTCCGATCAACCGCCTTATCCTCCACATTTTATGCCAATGCCATTTGCTGATGGTGATGCTGGAGGTGTTTGGCCTCATTCTCCGATGAACTATGATCGATTTGAGTCCTCTTGTCAGTTTGAGCATGCACCTTTTTTCAAGAGATTGACAGATTCCGATAACAACTTGCCAAATTCTATAACATTCCCAGCTATTAAATCTAGAGTGAATTCACCAAATCTTCAAGAAAGCAAAGGGATAAGTCATATATTTTATAAAACCCGCATGTGTGCTAATTTCTTGAAAGAAACTTGCAAGAATGGGGAAAATTGTACATTTGCTCATGGTGTTGAAGATCTGCGGGTGCCTCCTCCCAATTGGCAGGATCTAGTCCGTGTAAAGGATAGAGAGTTGAATGAGGATAAGGAAAAAATGAATAGGATCAAAATTTGCAAGATATTTTATGAAGGAGAGGAGTGTCCTTATGGACATAAGTGCAAATTTCATCATGAACGTCCTCCAAAATTTAAGACCAACATGCCAAAGGACAAAGAGAGTTCTGCAATAAGTATCGAAACTACAGGGAACATAAGTGATCCTAGGATGATTGAGACTAGTAAGCATGACAATGATATTGTCCGTTTTGAGATGCCTACATAGTTGAAAGACAAAGATATATATCAAGTGGGAGACAACAGGACAATGCCCCTTCCGTGATTGTTGTCACTTTGCTCATGGACAATCAGGTAAGCTACTCTTTTTATGCCCTCACATTTTTTATCATGTATATAATTCATTTACATATTTATTGTAAAAAATAAGGGCTAATAGTACTAGGTATTGATTGAGATCCTAGAGCCAATATTTTGTGTTGCTATGTAAGTTCTTTGTTAGAGATGCAATAGTTCAAATTAGAACGAGAATCTTGTATAAAATTAGAAAGAGAGAAGGTCTTCATATGATTTACCATTTGTATAGTAATTGCATTAGAAAAGAGAAAAGACCATCTAAAAAAATTGTAGCCAAAATATCATTCAACAATTGTATTCTTTCCTTAAACATGAAAATCTTGATGTGTTTGGGTCCATATAATATTTCAGGAACTGGTTGTGTTACAATGTCCTTTGATTGGTGTTTTGCATATTCACAACTATTTATTATTCTCCAATGATGACTATCTTATTTTCTCTGAAATACTTTAGGTATGTAGTTTCTCTATCTATTCATATCTAACATTTAAAATAAGTAACAATACAAAGTTGACAACATCTAGCCTACATCTTGGTTTTTATAGGTCTAACATTAAAGTAACTTGGTTGTTGCAAATTTTTACTTAACATGTAGACACAAAATATGTGAATGATGGGCTTCATGAGCTACATATCTCTTATATATTAATTTTTTTTATTTGACTTTCTATAGTAAAATATGAGATCTATTGACTTTGATTATGATCTCTTACTTGGAGTCATATTCTTATTTTTCTATTTAAGTCTAATCTTGTAAGCTCTTTCCTGAAGTTCTTTCTTTCTCTGCTCATTTTGCTAATATTGGCTATTTCTTTTAGCAAAGTTGCAGGCACCTGTGTTGATAAATTATGTCCCTATTACTCCAAGGCCCTTCTCTGCTCCGCTTGTTGCAAACACAATGGTCAATGCTTCTGTAAAAGAGGAAAAAGAGGAAAAGAAAATCCTTAAGTGGAAACCGTCAAAAAAGATCGCAGAGATATATGGAGATTGGCTCGATGGTTAGGTTCCACCCCACCTCTTATTTAGAAACACCGAGAGCTGAACTTTCAATTTACCGTTTCCAATCCTGATTACATAAATGAACGCATCCCAATAAGGATTATAAACTAATATGGATATCATATTCATGACGTATCATCCAATAGTAGTTTGTTATATAGTTTTTTACATTATGTGTAAACTGTTGGCTTTTGAAATTTGGAATTGAATATTTATTTTGTTTTAAGGACCTATCAGAATTTCATCGAGAAAAACATAGAAATATCATAAATTTATTTTACTTTATCAGGATGGATTATCATTATTTTATATGTTATTCTTTTCTCTGAGCAGTTTGGTTTATTAATGATCGTACCAGAACACTAACATATACAAATGCTCATTTTTTGTCTACCTTCATTGTAGTTCCAAGGCCAGACACTATTTTAAATTTTCAGATCTTTATGGGCCAGTTGACAAATTAATAGCTCATTTAGCCATGTTTTTGGTAGGCCAAATATCACGATTCAAAATCTTAGATCATGATTACACGTACATCCATTCCATAGTAGGTAAGTCGAACCAATAGATAGGAACTAGAAGTAACGAGCTATCACACGAAATAGAAGAATGCTAAAGCAAAGAACAAATACAATAAGTGAAGAGTCAAGATATACATAAAACATCCCCAAAACATTATATCAACCGATACTCGAGCAATTAATCATAACATAAGTACAATATAAGTACAATTTATATAACAGTTCCCAAACACAAAATAAAGACTAGTCCAGCCAAAAACAAAAGGAGAAAAACAAATTGAAAGGAACTCACCACTAGTCTTTGATCCATAGCTACTCCGCACACGTCAACAGTGAGAACTTGTACTATGATCTATAGGGTGCGGAAGTGTAGTATGAGTACCAAATACGTGGTTCTCAATATGCATAGGCCGACTTAGCATTCTCAACAAATACTATGCAACAAAAATAGGTTATAAACACAAACAGGGTCTAATAAGTTTGGAAAGGAATAAAGATGTGTGCATGACGATAGGGGTTTCAACTCAAATAGGCAAAGATTAACCAAAACAACATCGATTTATACATGGATAATGCTTGGTCTAGGCTACACTTTGATATTCTCTTGAACTATCAAGCTTATGTCCCGTAGATTCTACCAAACTCCAAGACCCTTTGAAACCAAACACCAATCATTATTTGAATAGATAGACTAATGCTAGATCATATCATTAAATGTGAAATTGCTCAGATTATCCTATCACTGGATCAAACCCATAGAGTAATTTCAACAAGTTCCCACTATTGAGTCTTACCTAGCTCTATTTTTCTTTTCCAAGTGAAAGCGGTGTTAAAGAGCTCAATCAATTTTTTCAACCACTAACTTTGAGATTAAAACTTCAAGAAAACAATAGATCCATGTCATACCATTAGCATTAGAGCCGATCAATCAATACCATTTAGGGTTTAACACTACCATCTAGGACACACACCCCTAATTAAGGGTCTAGTTGCTCATAAAATAAGAAATAGACACAATACTTATGTAGGAAATCTTTACTCCAAGCTAATTTGATAAGAAAAAACTAAATTTAAGGCTTAGATTGACACAAATTTGAGGTTTCTTCGTCTACAAGCTAAGAAGTTCTTCACTTTGGTCTATCAATATTTCTTTCAATAACTGGGGTCTCTCCTCTCTATCCCTAATTGGAAAGATGATAATGGTACATAATTGAACAAATCCATATTCTATCCTTGGAACATTCCAAAGGAAACATTATTTTCCATTATTGTATTATTGACCTTCAGCTTTGATAACGTTCAACTACACTTCATCTGATTCTAAGTGTAGGCGGTCGCTACCAAGTATAAACCCAACTAAGAGTTGGAATCGATCCCACAGGGAGTGATACGGTAAATAATTCGATCAAGAATTAAAATGATGTTCTAATCGTTTGTAGAGGTAAAAATTTCACAACAATTAATTAAATCACAAGGTTTTGACAATTAATGCCAAATGGGGAGATTTGGGTAACCAATTAACAACTATAAATAACCGGGAGTAAATAAATAGAGAGAATTTCTTGGGAGTGTGATAAATTGAATGCTAATTTCGCGTAATGGGTGATTACTTATTACCCAAAGTCATTGAATCTCAATGGGTAGGCTAGGTCTTGGGTGCAATAGCCATTTCTCAATCGACTATTTTGAATCAAGCGAGTTCTTTCAAACTTTGACAAGCACAACAAAGATTTACAATCCATTACCTTAATCAATCTACTTGTTTGAGCTAGATTTGTAGGATTGCATGCGAACCCACTTTCTCAAGCTAGATTCATGACAACACAATCACTACAAACATCAACTAATAACTTAACTCTAACACTTCTTTCTCAAGCAAGTATAGAGTACTAAGCTAGAATTGCATTTGCATCAAAAATTCCTCAATTAAAACATAAACTACTAATTGAAACTCACCTCAAATCAACAATAAAATCAGTACGGAACAACACCCATTAGCTAATTAATGCATTCAACTACATAATCACACCCCAAGAATGGGGGCTTTAGCCAAACCTAATAAAGAACAAGAAATCGTTACCAATGAAGTTTTCCATCAGGTTGGGCAACAATCCACAAGTCTCCAAATGCTCAAAATTCAGCTAAAAATCAAACAAACCCTAAATCTTTATTAAAAAATTGTAAAAACAATATTTAGAATGTTGAAGATAAAAAAACCCAGAACTGGATAATGTGGGAACCCTTTTACCTCTTTTCAAAATTGCATTTATACCTTCCTAGAATTTCAACATCGGAGTCACTCGACGAAGTAAGTTACGCTTCTTTGACCTAGTCGGTGATACGCCGAGTTCCCCCTTTCACCGCCTTCTTGGCTTGGCTTTTCACCATCTCTTTTTTGTAACTTTAGGCGATCGATATCAAAATCCCCAATCTCTTCGGCACGTTGCCAAACCACTTATTCGATCGCCAAGTTGGTTTTTTCCATGGGTTGGCCTGCTGGAACTTTAGGTGAGCAGAAGGTCCACTCTCCTTCAACTCTTTCACTCCATTTTGCCTTGTAGTGTCCTTGGCCTGCTCTATTACCTTCATTGCTGCATATTAAAATTTTAATATCAGTTATGAGCATAAAATGGAGATTGAAGACACTAAATCTTTGAATATTAAGCTCTAAATGAGTCGAAATCCCTGACTCATTAACACCCCCAACTCAAACTTTTGCTTGTCCTCAAGTAAAATACAAGATCAACCAGTTCAAATGAGGTGTCTACAGTGCTACTTGAGAATCAACATGAATGCACATGAGGTTTAATCTACCCAAACAATGTTCAATTGTGCACTACAGGTTTCAAACCGTGAATAGTCATCATCAAATAGAAGTGAAGCTCACAATGCTTACTTCAAATGCAAATTCAAGTTCAACAAGAGTATTTGAATGCCCTCACGTCAAGAATGATTTCATGCCCACATAAAGTTTATCAAAATTTCAGAATTAAGGAATCAAAATCAACTCTCACACTCTCAAAGATAAACAGATGCATGATTCTACCCATATGATTGACCATATTTTCCCATCAACATGTCAGTCGGCTTAATCAAGATCACCAAAATCTTTCAAGGTTTTTAATAGGGCTGAGGGTAAAGGTATGATCTTTTTGGCTTAGTGACTTCTACCTTCATGAAGCATGGCTTGCATTTCACTTCTTCTCCTTATCTTCCACTCTTTTTTATTTTCATAATTCACCCTAAGTTCTTTCAAGCACAGAGATTCTTATATGACTCATTGGACACCTCTTTTCTTTTATCCATGCACATATATCATTGCACCATTCTTTTTCAATCTTTTTCTTCTTTTGCTTTTCTATTTTTTTTTTAATATATGGAGGGGTTCCATCTTTTTCAATACAATCCTTCAAGAATGAATTTAACAAACTTCTTGATTCTCTCCTTAATTTCCACCACACCCCCAACTTAGGCTTTTGGCCTAAGTTGGCTATTCAAACGAACCAATGCTTCATTAAGGTTTTAGGTGGGGAGGAAAGAGGCCAAATGTGCTCATGTTTCATCCAAAAAAAAGGTTAGGCTCAAATGGTGCCAAGCTAGATTCACACTCCCACAAGGTGGTTACAAAAATGGTATGATAGCAATTTGGTTCACTCTCCAAAATTTGTGCCTAAGATCATTTCTTTCATTTGCCTACATTAGTCAATTGGACAAACGGGGGACGTTCTAGGTATCACCAAGCACATATTTTAAGGAAGTCTCACCACACAAGGCATTCAATACAATCATCGATCAAGACTCTACAAATTGAGCTCGGGTGTAAGGATCATCACAAGACTCATTTCAACAATCGGCTAGTCACAATAAGATGCTAAGAGTTCACACATGACTTATGAGACTCAATTTTGCCTCATTGCACAAATATATCGTTCAATTAAGAGCACTACTTAAGTCATTGGTATTGATCGCAATGGATACTCAAATCTGCAAGACAACATCCACACATTCACAAATACAAAAATTAGGAGGCGAATTTAATTTGGATCAAATATCAACATTCACATGAAACCCAACATTCAAAATAATAAGCATCCAAAACAAGATAGATACAAAAGAGGATAAATACAACCCAAGGGGATAGGTATGAAGATACCTCACCCCACCAAACAAAACCAAATATTGTTCTCAATATAGAATAAAGTAAATATCTCAAAAATAAAAAGAAAAAGATAGTAAAGATCCCCCTGTCAGGTTAAACCTGAGGTGAACACTGCATATCTGGGGTTCTCTCAGTTTGGGCATCAATGCCCGACTCATCTTCACTAGTAGACTGTGCTCCACTAGAGCCAATCATCGATGTGTCCTGAAGTGAAGCCTCCATCATCGTTTGCACTGTCGCCCCCTCCAAATCCTCAAGATCATCATAAACAGTAGCATCACGGGTCCCAAGATCCTTCTTCTCAGTCTCAGATGTGTCTGACTC